CTGTGCGTGCTCAGCCTGAAGGACAAGGATTCCAGCAGGACACTGATGTGATGAAACTGCTCGTTTCAGGGAGGTGGGGGGGATAGGTCAGTGGTAGAGCACAGGCTTGGTGTGCACAGGGTCTAGGGTTCAATTCCCAGTGCCTCCATTAAGAAGGGAAAACCTGGTAATTTCAGGAAAACTAGCCCAGGTGTGAGGGTTGGATGGAAAAGAGAGTGGAGGTGGGCATACCAGCTGTTAGAATAAGTCCAAAATCAAGCTGTGAAAGAATAGGAAAGAGAAAAGCAAATTAAGCATGAGAGAAGGCAAGATACCAGGAGTTATCAAGAATTCAGAGTCTCCAAAACTAAACTCACCTGTACCTGCCCAAGTTGCTCTTAGTTCTGGAACCAGCACCACCTGCTGGCATACACACAGGCGCCAAGCCAGAAGGCCAGGGAAGCCGCCCCCACTCCCTGCCCGCTCTCACTCCCACCCAAACCCAGGCAGCCCTTAAATCTGAACACCTCCTGTTTCACAAGCCTCCTGCCTTCTCCACCCACCTCCACTGCCTCTGTTTGGCCTGCTTCATTCCCTGGTGTCCCCCTCACAGGACTAATCAGGTTAAAATTGTCCACTGCTTCCCACTGCTTTTAGGATAAAATCCAAACTCCGCTTGGCCTACCAGGCCCTTCACTGTCTGTTCCCTGCCTCCCGTTTCGCCTCGCTCCTTTCTGCTGCTCACATGTCAGAATTATGAAATGCTCGCAAGTCCTAAACCTCACTGTGCTCTCTCTGTCTAAGTCTGATGCCTTTTCGACCTCACTTGATTATCTGTCCATCTTAACTTGGCTGACTTCAAGATCTGTCTCAGGCATCACCTCCTCCAGGAAGTCTTCCCTGCAGCCCAGTCCAGGCCTAAGTTCCTATGTGCTCCCATGGCGCCACGGTCACACAACTCTCCCGTGCCGCATGGAAACTGTTTGCATCTGATTCTCATTATTTGACTGTGCGTTCCTTGAGGGCAAGACTGTGTTTAATCTTGGCATTTGCATGATCTAGCATAGTACCTGGCACAATAAATACCTGGTGAATGAATGAATTAATTAAAAAAAGAAGAACAGAACTTGGTGACTTCATAAGATTCTCAAAAGAAGAAAGAATCAAAGATCACCCCTAGATTTAATTCTGAGTCTTCAAGGGGATGGTGGTTTCACTCATATAAAGAAAGAAGTCAGGATAGAAAGCTAATTGGAAGGTCAAGAAAGCAATGAATTGATTTAAATAGGGTATTTTTCAGGCCTGTGTGTCCAGATACATTTACTTTGGATTTAAAAAGGAAAAAAAAAAGCAAAATAAAGGAGGACTTATAAGGTTCGTGAATAAATTAGAATCAAAACAGTCAACCTCCGGCTATAATCTCGACATTGTCTGAACTAAGGAGAATGCAGAAAGACACAAGTGAACAGAGACGGCTATTCCCAAAAGGAGAGGTTACAAAATGAAGTTATTCTCACCGAGACTTATGGTACCAAGCTCTTCAAAGATACTCTTTGCCAGACCCTCGGTCTCCAACATCAGCTGAGATATGACGCTTTTAAATCTGTTGGCAGTCCGTGATTTCACTTTCCTGAAAACTACAGCCATCAAAGGAAAGTGAGTATTTTTCAGGGAGAATATGCAGTTCAAAGCAGGCCTCTCCAAGCCTCTCTCTGCCTTTCTTACTTCCTCTGAAACCTGAGGCCCCAAGCTCACAGGCAGGTCGGCTGAATGATAAAACAAATATTCAAAACCCCTGAAGCGACTCCCTAGAGCTTAGTGCACTGCTTCTAACATCTCTCTCTCTTTCGAGGTCTGGGTCTAATTCAGCTTCTCACTTGGACTTTCCTGTTGCTCAACACAGAGCTTCTGCTCTGATGAGCTGACATCTATCTTACTTCTGCAAATGCCACACTTGAAACCCTGTCTCTGTTCTCTGAGCTTCTCCATTCCCACCTGACTCCCGAGAGTGTTCATAATGTCCCTAACATTCATTTTTGCATTGTGTCCATGGAAACTTATTAATCGCCTACCAGGTGCCAGGTTCCGGTGATGGCAGAAAAGAACCTGCTGCGTGCCCTGGAGAGGTCTGTGTTCTCAGCAGAGAGAAAGCTACAGGGCCAAATGACCACGCGGAGTGCTGCACAGTGGGTGCAAGGTGTCATGGAGCAAGGGAAAGACTCTAATTCTTCCAGGGGAGGGGGGCAGTGTTGTGGGATAAACAGGGGAAGAGGTAAGGAGGAGTGAGCACAGTCATGTGCAAAGGGCAGGATGGAAAAGCTTAGAAAGAGAACACACGTGACCAATCCGAGGAACCCAGAGGATGGGACTTGCTTGGGTTTATGGGAGTTGGGAGAAGACGAAGCTCAGAGCGGGGAGGGACTGGATTATAAAGAAGTTTGTATGTGATATTTAAAGGTTCACATCGGGTACCTTCTCTAAACTCCTTACTGGCAGCTCCCTGACTGGTTCATGTGTGTTTGTTCTGCCTTTTACTCATTCTGTCATATGCTATTCGGAGAGCGAGGATAAAGTCTCATGCATCTTCTGCACCCCTCTCCCTTGCTGGGTTAGTCTAGCACTGGTATTCAGTAAACATTTCTTAGTCAATCTTATTTAGGGGGGAGGGGATAGTTCAGTGGTAGAGTATGTGCCTGGCATACATGAGGTCCTGGGTTCAGTCCCCAGTACCTCCGATAAAATAAATAAATAAACAAACACACCTAATTGCCTACCCTCCAAAAAACAAACAAGCAAACAAACGAAAACTAAGAAAAAAATCTTATAAATAAAATCATATTCTGATCTTTCGATAAGCTCCGATTATTTCACTTCAGCCAAAATTCCTGGATACGTATTCAAATAATGAATCAACACTCAGTGTCCTCCTCAGGCATGGAACTCAGGGAAGGTCTGAGCCATCTAGACGCTCAGATTTTCTCATCATCTCTCTCTCTCTCTCTCGTTGCCATACCTTGACATGAGCTTGATGCAAAGGAAGAGCAAATGTTTGCTTTCTACAGGCCACTCCTGAGCTCCGTTGGGGAGAGAAGCTGGAAATGTGATTA